TTTCCACCAACTTCACTGGTTGAAGTATTTCCATCAGCTTGAGCTGTTGAAGTGTTTCCACCAACTTCACTGGTTGAAGTATTTCCATCAGCTTGAGCTGTTGAAGTGTTTCCACCAACTTCACTGGTTGAAGTGTTTCCATCAGCTTGAGCTGTAGATAACATGTAGAGGACATTACATGGGAGCATGGGTATACGGATTTATCTTTGAGTGAGCTACACTCACTCGGGAGAGATTTTGAGCACAAGAAGATAGAATTTTTATCTTATTATACTCTGTTTATCATAAAACTACTGCACTATGCAGAAATTACAATCTTTTTGACTCACATTTCAAGTATATATATGAAATATATTAGAAATTATGGGATATCGTCACCAATATTTTTTTGTTGCCTAGCAATAGTACTTTCTGAAAAAAATATTGGCAATTATATCCCATAATTTTTGATATATTTTATATATACTTGAAATATTAGTAAAACAAACATAATTTCTGCTGCATATTGCAGTATATATGAAAGCAAATTATGTTGTAAAATACCTTTTTTTATATATTGAGAAACAACTTTTCGAAAGAGATTTTTATATGCAGTGGCTGGGCTGGGTTTGTGAATTCATCACCTGAAATGTTACCTATACCTTTATCCATTATGAGCTTGAAGGTGATTTTTCCATCCTGCTTAATTGAATAGCTCCCAATAACTTCATATGTGGAGTCATTTGGATTTTTATGCAACAATATGCCACAGGGATACAAGGCAACACTTTCATCATCACAAATTTCAAGGATATCATGTCCATTTTGATGAGTGCTAAATTTTAATTTGACAAATTTAGCCCTCGAGGCCTTGCTTGAACCTTGATCCCCTATACCAAACAAATGCTGACCAAGTTGATCTTTTGATATTACTCGCTTAATGACTTTGCTGTAATTTGAGACATAAATTAGGGACTTCGACTTAGAAATTTTGATTGTTCGTTTATCCTCCATGGAGCAAGGCAGAAATTGGTGTGTCAATTGCTCAGGTTCTACTAATTCGTTCACCAACTTCAATTCTTTTAATTTTTTCTTTTCATGATTATAAAATTCAGCTTTTATCTCTCTAATCTTTTCAATTTCAAATTTGCTGTTGTTATTAAATGGCAAAATCAACATGAACTCATACTTTGCAAAACAAGTACATGTTGGGCAGTTGCTACATTTTAGTCCCAGTTTCTTATAGTTTATCATACAGGCTTTCATATGATGAGTTGTAATCTGGTCTGTTTCAGTTGTAATTTCTACATGGACAATCCCTTCACTGCCATCAGACCTAGGGTATCCCACATTATCCATCATCGTTTTATTCCTGTAAATGTAAGAAGGATGTTATGATCATATCAGGAAGTAGCTGATCCCTTTAAAGAGCGCTCAATACACATTTCAAAAAATCTACCATGCTAGGAGGTACCGGGAGGAAAAACAAAGACTGAAGCAATTGCAAAAGATCCACCGTACAGGGAGGTCATGTCTACGAAATTACTCCAGTCGTTGTTTTTCCTCCATGTACCTCCCGGTACGGCAAATTTTTTGCATTTTTCTGTACAGACATTTCTCGTTCATGGCGAAAATGGCGGTTTTTGGCACAGATTTTACTTGTCTCAGGAGAGCTCATGGCTTCTTGATGAAACCAGCATTTCTGGTTGTTAAGAAAGCAGATGCTACTGAAGTGAGCGCCCTGTTCATACTGAACATTGTTGATAACACAGTTTAGAATTTTAACAGTTGAGTACTGAATTCAACTGAAGTTTGGAATCCAATAATGAAATCGATAATGGATAATAAATTCAAAATGAAAACGAAATGAAAAAATCGACCAAATTTAGAGCTGTTTGAAGTAGATATGGAGGGCTTCGATTCCTACCCTGTCATCTTGGAGTAGCCAACAATACGCTTCCTTGGTTCCGCTCTTATCTAAGTAACAGAAAACAAAGAGTAAGCTGTGGAACAGAGCTATCTGAGGAACTCCCAATCACTTATGGGGTACCCCAGGGAAGCATTCTGGGTCCTCTGCTATTCAATGTCTACATCAACGATTTACCGAATTCACTGAAATATTCGCATGGGACACTGTATGCTGATGACACAGTAATATTTTGTTATGGGTCTAACACGCAGGAGATAAAAGAAAAACTGAATGAGGACTTGTTATCCGTGGCTAAATGGCTAAAAGGAAATAAACTAACTCTGAATCTCGACAAAACTAAGTGACTGTATGCTTATAGGTAGCAGCAGAAAAATTTCAAATTCTAGCCTTTCTGTATCTATTTTGAATCATGGAATTGATTCTACAGATAGTTTTAAATATCTAGGTATTATCATTTCATCTGACTTCACATGGTCAGAACATGTGGATTATATAGGCAAGAAAATTAATCAAAGACTAAGTCTTCTTAGGAGAATCAAGCATCTATTACCTTTTAAATCCCGTCTTTTATTTTATAATTCTTTAGTTCTACCTCTATTCGACTATGCAGATGTTGTTTGGGGAGATAAGAACAATGCAACAATTATGGGCAATCTCCAGACTTTGCAAAATAAGGCCGCTAAAATAATATTAAATAGACCTCTTTACTCTTCATCCATAGAAGCGCTTAACGCTTTAAAGTGGCTACCTTTGTCTAAAAGACGTCATTACAGGCGATGTATTTATATTTACAAATGTATTCAAGGTTTAGTAAGCCATCATTTAAATTTAGAGCGTCAACAGGATCATCATAATTACAATACCAGGAACAATGATCATTTTAGACTTCCCAGTATAAAACGAAACTGGGGTAAGCAAAGACTGAGCTACCATGCAGTTAGTGATTTTAATCTAATACCAAAGGAAATTAAAAATTCAAGTTCTATTCAGGTTTTTAAACGTAAGATCTTAAATTATTTTTTTGCCTAGATATCTATGATGTAATGTTATATTTCTTGTAATAGTTATAATTCGTATTTTTAGTAACAATTATAGTTTTAAGACTTTTAATTACCTCATATTTTTTATAGC